CTGCAGCTCGGACTGCCAGGGGCTCTGCATCGCCCAGTTGACGTCCCATAGCTGCAGTAGTGCGCGCGCGCAAGTCCAAGCGTAACGATGCGATGAGACGACCGGACCCCTGTTCGAAGAACTGCTCCGCTCTGCCCTGCCCTGCCCTGCCCTGCCTGATTGACGACCCTCTGAATGCGGATATCGTGAATGCTGACATTATGGCAGGATCTTTGAACGTCTCGTTGGAGGCACTAGAGTCAAGATTGCATACAAGCAGCGCTGTACCCGAGCTTTGATGAGAATCGTGAGTTGCGCACACCCCGAGCGCTGCTGAACGTAGGCTGCGCGTGCCGCCATGCGCAGCTCACGTGCCTCGCGCCTCTGCCGTCGAGACCTGACATGGGCTGTCGTCCCGCTGTGCACGCCTCTGTGATTCCAAGGCTTCACTTTCTTCAGTGGTCTCTCGTGAATACTCGTGGACCCAAGTGTAAGCTTGACTCGCATTCACTTGACTCTTGATTTTTGATTGTCAATTTGCTCCGCCAGCTCAAAGCAAGTACTCTTGACTCGCCGAAGATCTACTGGGCAGCGAGCTGAGCAGCGAGCCTAGCATGTAGTGCGGTTCGTACAAAGGTGCGACGCCAAGTCAATCGCTCGCGCGTATGCACGCGCACCTCAGGAATCGTCATCTCTACGAGCAGAGGTCAGAGCACACATCAATGCACACAAGTGAAGTCCATGTAAATCATCGTGGATAAATTCCAGTGAAGCCAAACGTTTGCCCACAATTTTCAGTTCAAGGTCCGCTTCTATTTTGGCATCGATGATTCGAGTTCAACGGTAGCGTCTGCTTGAGCGCACGATACAATTGCCCACTGTTCGTGCGCAATTGTAGGAATTTCCCCCCTACCAGCCCGAAAAGTCTCCAAAGCCACCGTCAGAAGCCGTCGTTTTCGTCTTTCGCTTCGCAAAAGATTCCCCGATCGGTTCGCCCTGCTGGTCTACTCCATCCTTCTGTACGCTCGTCGTGGCCTTCATGTATTTGCCAACGCCAGATGCCGTACCCATCACTTTCAGCTCCGATGCCTCCCCGGGAGCTCTACGCTGCCTCTTCTCCCCAAGATTCGTGCCCAGCCTACACGACACCACATGGAGGTGAAGACTCGTCAGAACTTCGCAGACACATCATCGCAAGAACAGCCACTGACCAGGTGGTCCGATCTTCCTCTCTCCGCTTCCTCTTCTCTTCTCGCTTTGCAACTTCTTCCACACTATCTCTACTCTGTTGCCTAGCGAGCTCTGCTTTGTAAGCTTCGAAAGGATCGTCGAGACATCTGATCTCGAAGATTCGCACTGTCAATGCCAGAGACTGGTATCGCGTCAGCTTTGTAAGAGCACGCTAGCTCCAGCGACTACTATTGTGAGGATGCGCACCACTCCTGAGCGGCCGATCTGTGCCCTTCTCGGTAGGCACGCGCTCGATGTTGTCCAAGGTAGGTTCACCTGGAAGCATCTTTCCAAAAACAGTATGTTTGTGGTCGAGGCTTGGGCTAATGAGCACGATGGTCAGTCGCCTAGTGCACACGCGCTGCCACCGACAAACGGATCGAGAACTCACATCTGGTCCCGGAAGGTGAAGAAGAACTCTGCAAAAGGGGTTGTGTCAGATCTGTTTGTATCGAGAGGGCTCCACACCTCTCTACTCACGACTACCATTCGTCGCGGGGCCCTTATTTGCCATGCTCAGCGAGCCTCGGGAGTCGTGCCTGAGCGCGCCGGGCAAATCTAGTTCGTCTCTGAAAGGTCGGTCCCACATGCTAGCACCGCCTCTACCAGTTCCAGTCGGATCGCCGCCTTGTACCATGAATCCTGTAGCATTTTATCGGTTCAGCTCACCGTACAAAGGGGGTTCCCGTCCCTTTACTGACCTGGTATTAGGCGATGGAAGACTGTATCGTCATAGTATCCCCTTTTCACCAGCGTCAGGAAGTTGTAACACTGTGCGGCCAGGGGAGTCCAAGCAACAAAGCATGAGACAACTGTCCAATATTTGCTCGCGGACAACCGGGAACCCACCGTTTTTGGTGCCTTATCGCAGTAGAGCTCCACATTGATGGGGCCAAAGTTCGTAGTGACCTGGCAAGGACAGCGGGTTGCCGACGGGGCGGAGAGTGTCAGCTCGCTTCCCTTCACGCAGAGCGAAAGCTCCGGGCATCTGGGATGAGCACATCAAGGAACGATTACTCCTCCTATCTTACATCATGCCACTGCCTTCGAGTCCCGCTCTACTGTTCCGGTCCATGCTGACGCCGTTTGCGCTCTCTCTACTTACCCGAACAAAAGCCCTCGGACTGGCCTTCTTCTTCCCCTTGTTCCAAGCCGCTCCAAGCCCTTCTCCAGCAGCCACTTTTTCCAGCATAAACTCTTCCTCATTGATAGTTTGCCTCTCGCTTTTGGTCACTGGCGTCAGGCCGCTTGACGTGAAGCTGGCTGCAGTCATGCCCGTGGATGCCGAAGTAGCGTTGTAGGGCACCACTTTTTTTGCTGTTCCTGTGTTCGCATCTGCCGGCGGTGCGCCTGCCGCAATGCTGGAGGCGGAGGTACTAGGCTGTGATGCTCGAACACGATCCAGCAGCTTCGACGCTCCACCTGCTGCACTGGTGTTGATCTCTTGCAAGGTATCGCTGGCCTGAGGTACCACGTGCCCGTGCTTCACATGATGCATCTCCGCTAAATTTCTCTTATGAGGCTTTGAAGCCCCAGAAACTGACGCCTCACCCATACCATGTGGGTCCTGCAGCGTTATTAGATCTGACTTCCTGAATGGTTCATCTGAAATCAGGTCGACCATATGTTTGGCTTTGATGTTGAGCGAGTGGACAGTGTCCCAGGAGAAGACGTTGCCTGTCGTGCTAACAGCCACGAGGTGTGTGTGCTCGTTGAATTCCTGTCACGAGAGCCGGCAACCCGAGGAAGGAAGGGCAAATGGTCAGCATTGCTTGGAAGCGGAGCGCAGTATGCTCTCTCGCATCGTGAAGTGGGTGTGATCGTAATTGTGCCTGGCTGCGATTACCTTCCAGCCTTTGCGCAAACTGAATGTATGCGCTCCATGCTGCCATCCATAAGCTCTGCTCCGCTTCCTAGCCTCGCAGCCGCTCTTCATGATGATGCCACCCGCTGCTGCCGCTGCGCCCCTCTTAAGAATGCGCCATGCATTCCACCCAGCCTCACCTTGAAAGACACAGGATCATGGTATTTGCCGTTCTCGTTCTTGTGAAAATTTAGCTTGACTAGATCCTTGATCTGCATTGCTTGGCCAGTAGCAGGATTTGTGCCGTACTTGTTGAGGTACGGGATGACGTGAGTCAACTCGAAGATGGTTCCCTGGAATGTAGACGCAGCTTCTAAGTCAGCCAGCACTCGGCGCTGGGAAATCCTAGCCACGTGCACCCACTAACCTCTTCCCTTGTGCACACAGGGTTCGTCCATGGAGCCAGCGTGAGAGCGCAGCAATCGAAGGGTAACGCTTGCATGCCATCATGGGCGGATGAGAGAGCAGCCTTGTTGCCTACGCTCCCTGCGGAATGCTGCCCAAAGAAACCCGAGTGCTCGCCATGGGTGATGTACAGCTTGTCCGTCTTCTTGCCCATCTTTTGAGGCTATAGGCTGAAGGTGAGATTCCCAGTGTAGTAGGTGGGGTAGCTAGACGAGAGCCGGGCGTACCATAAGCCAAGGCGTCGTGGAGCACTCAGGTGGAGGTGAGAAACGCAGTGTGATGCGGACGTGGACGTGTGCCGGACGCTCGGTCCTCGCAAAAGGTTGCTATTGAGACTGTAGTCTCTAGCTAGGGCAAGACTGCGATCTATGGTTTGACCGAGATGGAGAGAGAAAGACGTGCAAGTGGATGGGTGCGAGCGGTATGGATCGAGATGGTGTTTGAAGATCGTGTGGCATCCATTCAATGATTCAAGATTCAACTCGTGAATTCTTGATTTCAAAAGTCATGACGGGTCCACCGAATATCGATCGAGACACGTGACCCCTTTCCGGGTCGCGCTGCGCTACGATGTCAGAAGAAATCGCGATCGAGGGCTGCATGCGCGCAGCAGGCATACGGCCTCTGTCGGCACGGCGCAGCACAGCTAGATGGGATCTTCGCTGCAGCTGCTGCAGCCCTTCTTTACAACTCCGCGGCGTGGCTAGGTCGTGTGGCGACGCTTCACCTACCCATCATCATCTTCGCAGCTCGCCCTCTCGGTAGGTGCGATACTCAAGCCCTTATTCAACTTATCTTGCACATTGGTCTCTGTGACTTTCCTTCTCTCGCTGCGCTCCCTAAGCCCCACTCTTCCGCAGGGCACATCATTATCGGTTCTGCTTCTCCGCGCACTTCTGAAACCGGGGTGCGGCCAGCCATCCGAGTGCCCTGAGGGCCTTGCATCTCAATTCTGCCTCGACTTTCGCTATCACATACTCAAATCTTGTCTTGGTCGGCTTGGAGTCTTTCAGAATCCCACTTAGGCTCTGCCGCATCTTTGGCGTGCTCACTCCTGACGCCTGTCCTCGTCACGTCATCCCGATCTTCGACGTCACCTTCACAGTTTGTCTGCAGCACAAGCGTCCTCGTAAACAGCCTCATCTTGTCATCTTCATAAGTCATCGATAGCACTAGCCGCCGGATCATGTCTCTCGCTCCGCCGTCTACCGTCGCCGCAGCCTCTACCTCTGACTCTTCGGCACCCTCACTGCGCCATCAAGCATCTGCATCCCGAATATCTGTCCCCATCAACCGATCGAGCTCGTCCGGCGGCCCAGCCGTGCCGCCACAGTCCTTCGGAGCTGCCTCATATTCAAGCACCCAGCCTCCATCATCGTCAAGCTCTTCATCTGCTGGAAATCCTTCTCCTAGGCGTCGCCAACGACGATCGGCGGGCGAGACCAATGGCGCAGCTTCTGAAGATGATAATCAAAGCGCCTCCACTAGTTCCGGCACATCAGCGGATAGCTCCAGCGTCGGAAGTGGATCGGATGGCGAGTCGGTGCCAGAGAGAGCTGGTCGTGCTATTAGACGAACACGGGAGGACACGGAGTCGGAAGAGGAGCCAGAGACGGCAGAAAGAGTGGTCAGCGCCTCGTCAGAGGTCGCTTTCAGCTCCGTCGTCGATGCGCAGGAACGGCGGATACCCACAGGACCGCGCGCATCCCACACCCTTAGCAACAATGCTAGCTCCGCTCCGTCGTCCTCTCGCGCCGCATCCAGAACGAAACCCCCTCCGCGGATTCCTGGAGCTGGACCGCATTGGAATCACGACGATCGCGGGTCGATGTATGCGGGAGGCGAGGCGAGAGGGGACAGGGGCAGAGGAAGAGGTGGACGCGGTGTGAGGGAGAGCTTGGCAAGAGGAGGTTCTACTCGATACGCACCAGACCATAGCTCTAATGCCACTCACCCGCGGGAGATCCTGCAGGCACCGCAACGTGGCTTCCAATTTTCCAGGAGAGGCAGAGGTACACGTGGCACGTCGAATGGGGCAAGTCCTCTGCACCAAGCTCAGTCTCAGCCTCAACGTCGAGGTCTACTTGGCTGGAGCGAGTCGGAGCATTCGGCTTCGGATTCTGACGAAGGCGCAAGAGTAGATGAGGATGCTCTTCGCGGTCGAGCAGTGCGGAACATCCCAAGCGCGGCGAAGCCTTTGCTCACGTCAAATCCCTCCCTCGCCAGATCACCTGCCGTGCAGGAACATTCGGATGGTACAGCTGCGAAGGCTGACGGGAGCTGGATCGGGAAGGCTCCTCCGACTGCGCCTAAAGCGATGCGAGCTGCTGCGCCTTCGCCAGCGCCTCCCGCCTCCAACCTCGGCTCATTTCCTGGCGGAAGAAGCTCAGAAGTGACACCCTCGACCAGCACCGCTTCTCCGTTGGACGCGCTCGCTACCCTGAGTCTAGCAGCTCCATCATCATTGACAGGAGTGCCAACAGGACCCAGTGGCAAGTGGGTGCACGATGGTTATGAATCTTTGTGGGGGCAAGATCGAGAGCATACAGGCTCCTCACATCGAGGGAGAGGAAAAGGCACGCGCCGAGGTGCGACACAAGGAAGATTTAGTGGTCGACCGCAAGCCGTGCCGCGAGTCAACCTGCCCACTGGCTCAGACACGCAACATCAGAGTAAACAGCAGGACCTGCTCGACAAAAGTCAGCCGAACAGCCTTGTCAATGGCTCTCCACTTGCTTCTGCTGTCGCACAGCTTCCGCCCGGCTTCGTCGTGGATGCTGCAGGCACCATCTACGACCTCAACCAGACACCCCCGATGTCCGTTGGACTTTTGCCGCAGTTGAACGCAAATCGTGCAGACACATCTACTCAACACGGGGCAGGCCGCGCCCTCATTCAAGAGACTGGCGCTTCACCATCAGCTGCTCTTCGTTCCCGACACGAGCGGTCTAGCAGCGCGGCGATTTTCGCCAATGCTGCCAGAAGCGCCACTTTTAGCCCATCGATCCACAAGTTGTCGAATGCTACGGCCGTCACTCAGCCTGCAACTCCTCAGCCGCAAGCTACGAACGGTGACTATCATCAGCATGTATCTCACCCTCGATCCACCGCTTCTGTGTTCCAACATGTGCACGGAGTAGAAGTCAGTCCAGGTCCATCTTCGCCCTACGTCTATAGCCCGGCGCACGATTCAGAGCTCTACGATCCATCCTACGTCGGCAGCGTATCGCACTTCGTCCCTTCGGATGGCGCGCACTACTACCTCCCAGCGGCGTATCCCCAGCATGGTGCAACGCATTACTTCCAGCAAGCGTACAGTGCATCTCCCGCTGTCTGGACCGCTGATGAGTATGGGCAGACAGGCAACGAGGCTCAATAGCCGTCACGGGGCTCGCGATCCGGCCTCAGCGTCACGAAAGCTGTGGCCCCGGTGCATGGTCACGAAGGTACGACGATGGATCAGCCAGTGCTCAAGTGTCGCGGCATGGTCTCGGTTTCTGACTCTCCTCACCGATCCCGCTCACTGGCATATGATAAACTCAAGTAGTGCCGATTGACGACACCAAAGACCTCTTTACGCGCACCACCTCCTACCCACCAAAAATGTAATGGCATACGCTTTCCTGCCACCTCTGCTTGTGCGCCGGTGCGCAAGTCTGGAGATGTCACACTAGATACCGATAGCCTGACGGCCCGACGCCTAGCAGGTTGAGGTCACGAAGTTGATCAATTTGGCGTACAGACGAGCGAGCGCGAGCGAGCGCAGGAAGACTGCTACAAGACTATTCGAGGAGTCCCGTGGCGAAAGCAAAAGCGAAATGGTGGCGGGATACGTCGATTGGAAACTGGACGTGCGAGGCGGAGGGTCAATGATCAGCTTAGGCCGTCGAGTCGCAAAAAAAGGAATCGAGCACGCACCATGTTCACACGTCGGCTATTCACGGATTCTCCGCTGTCGCGCTTGATCACATCGTGAAGGTCGGGACACCGTTCTAGAGCTCATGACTGCTCGCCTTTCTTGCCTCGTTGTCATTGGTCCGGCGCTTGAAGAACCTCAGTTGCCCCCTTGACTTTGAGAAATCTAGCGTGGCAAAGTATAGGTTGGCGAAAAACAAAGTTGATTTCTATCGTCAGCGTCCGATCGAGCGTATCGCAGACTGACAATCAGCGATGCAC